ATATTGGAATATTTTTTTTATAAATTAATAATAAATTAGGAGGATAAGAAAAATCTTAAAAATTATGTTTGTGTGTTGTAACATTTTCGAAAATAAAGTTGTCCTACTTGTAAAAATTTTAATAACATGTAAGTTAAAATGCAAAAGAAAAAAAATAACATGTAAGTTAAAATATCTATGTTTTCTTCTTCATCATGTGTGTGTTGGCTAAGGATGTCATCCTCATCCTCACTAAATGGGTCTAATGACGACAAAGGTATACCTAATGTTTCATTTTCTTGTAGAGGAAGAGAGGAGAACTGTTGTGTGTCGACATATCTAGGAGATGAAAGAAGTTGTGAGGTCGATGGACCGGTCAAGAGTTAGGTGTATGATTGTATGTCATTTTCCCATTCCCCTATATATGTGGCGTTAAGGTCAAATGACTGATGTGTGGGTTGGGTTTGTAAGGGTTGTTGATATTCTTGAGAATGATTAAAATTATTGGGCTGGGAAGATGAAATACCTGTGTTGTAAGTCGTGCAAATTTCCAAGGATCTTAAAGTTGGGTTGGCCTCTATGATGTCCATGGCTCCATCCAAGTCATCGTCATCTTCAATATTTGTTGTTGTATAAGTCACATGTTTGTCACAAATTTGTGTTGGAAATCTGAAATGGAGGTCAGGAGGTGGATTGGTTGGATCTCTCTTCGCCCGTTGCAATATTATCTCTAATAATTGCAAAGTGAAACCTCTATGAAGTTGAACCATGATACAGGTGTCAGACTTAAACAAAACACCATTTTCTGGGTTAGGAATCATGTCACCATTATCATAGATGCATGCAAACATCTTTGGTGCCATTTGAGGAGGAATAAGATTCTGATGAGTGGTAGCAAAGAAAAGTTTTGAAAAACTATGGTTTGAAATTTGTGGTAAGGTCCCTCTTTTATAGCCAAAAGTTAGGTGATCATGTGAACCGCACATTAACGAACGTGAAATTTGTGGTAAGGTCCCTCTTTTTACACAATGATAAACATAAATAAGATTAATCGACTTAACATAAATGATAATATTGGATGGATTGAAATACTCATTACACATGACAAGAAGAGTGATAACATATGGTTCATGGATTTTTCATAAATCAAGGTACATGATCATTAATATAAGTTTAGTGACTGATTGAAGTTATTAGCCAAATCATAATAAACTACAGACGGGGTTGTGCTGTGGTGGATTTTTGTAATAAATGCCATGATCTCAACATGAACTTCTATAGCTTGTTCTGTTGCCATTAAAAACAATGCCTCGACATCGTCATCTACAAATATCTTACATGATCTATAATGTGCAGTGGTGGCAGATATGAAAATTGGTAACTTGTATTGTAAGCTGACTTTATATTCGTTTACTGGTGACATGTTGAAGTGGTTGAGAATAGTTTGTTTCACTTCGACCATAGTCATTGTGTTTGTTATGGTCACCCAAGACGTTTGAGAACTAATGTATGTTTCAGAGTAGTTTTCTTCCGTTAAGATGGTGCCGTTGAAGTACACCAACACTGTGAAAGTTGTATATGTCATTGTTGGTTGCAGTACCTTGTTACTCTATTTATAGCACAATTGTTCACTTGGACCAACAACAATGATAATTCCACATACATGAACAATGAATCTGTGGAGATGAACACATATGATTTAGATTCATACTGCACGAGGTCTGACCACCATGAATGACGCGTGCAAGCTTTAGTCCATGTGACAAAGTCCTCCAACTTTAATCTGAGGGTTGAAATTAAATATGTGGAGATGAATGCACATCATTAAAATCCACATTGCACAAGGTCTGACATGGTTTTATTAAAGCATGATCGTGTCATTATGGCTGAGCAGTATGCCTTATGTAGTGGATATGAATCCTGTGCGTTCAATTTTTGTGTTTTCAATCGCAACTGTTAACCAAAAAAACATACACTGTCCATTATGACACTATAAATAATGGTATTGTGTCATATCATAACTCCTCAAACATGATGACTATTATCATGCGTTGACTCAGTCACTCTCTCAATCAATGCTCTCACATGCACCCTCCATAAAGTCGTCTTCTTGTTAAATCATTTTAAAAATATTATTTTACTACTTTCAACAATAAATCTAAATATATTATTAAGTTACAAAAATATAAATCTTTTTAAAACTATAATTTAAAACTATAAATTTTAAATAAAAAAATTATAATATTATATATATATATATATATATATATATATATATATATACATTGTTTTACTTAATGTAGATTTGAAAAACTAATTGATTATTTCAAAAACTAATCGATTAATTTTTCAATTACTTAATGACATCGTGCATGTGAATGCATTGATTGAGAGTAAATAAGTCAATGCATAATAATAGTCACCAGACTTTTCCAAAGTATAACTTATTTTCATTTTGACTTTTTTTTCATAAATAATACTAATTTTTCATTTTGACTTATAAATAAATATATATATATATATATAATAATTAATTTGAAATTAATATATGTAATTTTAATTTATGTTATATATATAATTTATTTAACATTAAAAATAGTTATTTTTCTTATTAATTTTATAATTGTAATTTTTTTTAAAAGTTATAATTCTGAATATAATTTTTTTAACTCTATAATTATAATTTATATAATATATATAATTTATAAATATTTTTTTTTTAATTTTAACTAGATATATATTTTTATTTGTAATTATTTAATGTATATTTTAAAAATTAATAGATTATAGTAGATTATTTGAAAAACTAATAGATTATACTCAATTTTTTGAAAAAGTAATCGATTATTTGAAAAATTAATCGATCATAATTGAATAATTATAAATTAATTAATTAATTGTTTAAATAATTTTTCAAATTTATATTAAGTAATATATATATATATATATATATATATATAATTTTATAATGTTGTATATAAAATTTATAATTTTAAAAAGAATTATGTATTTATTAGATTAATAATATATTTAGAATTATGGTTGAAAGTAGTAAAATATAATTTTTATTTGTATGATTAAATTTTTTTAATTTTTTAATTTATTTGATATTGTAATATTTTTTTAGAAATTAATAATAAATTACGAGGAAAATAAATATAAATAGAAATAATATATATATATATATATATATATATATATATATATATATATATATATTAGTTTTTCTTTCTTATTTGAATAAAAAAAATCTATTTAGGATTCGATTGCGAATAAATCGAATTCTAAATCAATTACTTTTTTAATTACTCAGTTATGATCGATTAAATTGTCCAATAATCGATTATATTTTCAAATAATTGACTTTAGATAGCGGTTCTAAATTTAACCGCTATTAAAAATATATTTTAGATAGTGGTTAACGTGAAACCGCTATTATATGTTCACTTTTAAGAGCGGTTAACGTGGAACCGCTATTATATCTTCACTTTTAAGAAGTCGTTAACTTGTAACCGCTATTATATCGTCAGTTTTAAGAGCGTTAGCATGGAACCGCTATTATATGTTCACTTTTAAGAGCGGTTACATTGTTAACCGCTCTTAAAAGTGACACATATATGAATAATTAATTATAATAAATGTTAACCGCTCTTATAAATTTTATATATATATATATATATATATATATATATATATATTGCATAAATTAGAATAATAATTATCAACTTGAAAATAATTTATATTTAATATATATATATATATATATATATATATATATATTCTAAAATAGAATTTATTTTAATTTCTATATATATATATATATATATATATATATAAATGAAAATAAGTTATATTTTGGAATATATATTTTATATTATAGTATATTTTAATATATATATATATATATATATATATATATGTAATTTTTCATCAAAATATTATTTCTTCTTATATACATATAATTTTTAAGATTTTTATTATCCTCCTAATTTATTATTAATTTCTAAAAAAATTATAATATCAAATAAATTAAAAAAAGTTTAATCATACAAATAAATTTAACTATAATATTTAATAATATATTTTAAAAATATTATTTTACTACTTTCAACAATAAATCTAAATATATTATTAATTTTAGAAATATACAAATCTTTTTAAATACCTAATTTAAAACTATAAATGTTAAATAAAATATTATAACATATATATATATATATATATATATATATATATATATATATATTAGTTAGTTTTTTTTCTTAACAAAATAAAAAGAAAAGCTGTTCAGAATTCGGTTGTCGGACAATCGAATTCTAAATTGTTTGAAAAAATTATCAAATACAATTACGTTTAGGTTTCGTATTCTAGAAAATCGATTTCTCAACTTAAAAAAAAAGCTGTGTTATCTAGATAAATTACACTATATTATTTGAGTAATTAAAAAACGAATACGTGCTACTTGTAGACAAAATTTATCTCGCTGAGCGGGTTCTCTGTTCTTGAAAGATATCATCTTCTCCTATCTTATCACCTCCTTCATTTGTGACAAACTTTCTACTGCTAAAAATGTATTAGGGACCATGTAGATAGGTGATAATTTAGGTTTTAAAGAAAAAAGTTAATTTAGTTATGACATATTATGTGATTTTATGCATCTTAATTCTAAAAAAATTAATCAAAATTTTAAGACAAGATATTTCTAATATAATTTTATAAATAAATAAAAGTATTAATTTTCTATCAAATATCACCATTGTATCAAATTAATCTTCATTATTAATAATTTTTAAATACAAATATTCATCATATTTAATAGAAATAATTAGAAACACATATAATTTTTTATAAAAATTATTAAACATCAATATTTTCTAATATATATATATATATATATATATATATATAATAAAAAGGAGTAGAATTTAATGTGAAATTAGTAAAAGTTTGCATCATTTAAATCATAACTATTTTGTTTTATTTGCACCTCTCCCTCTGTAGATATGAACATTAATCAACAATCATTCATTGCAATGTACCTTGGCAAAGATAATCCATCGCAGTATATCACACTCCACGTACACACCCACCAGACAGCCACGTTTCTGAAAATAAACACCAACCCTCTTCCCTTTTTCATCACCTTCGTTGGTTGGTTGGTGGGTCCTCCTTTGCTTCCTTGTTGGATTACATTGTGTTCCTCCCAACCCAGGAACCACACATTCTAACATGCAACGTTAACCCCACGAACAAATCCTCATTTTTAATGATATTCTTTCTCTTTTCCTCTGCCAACTTTTTATCTCTGCTTGTGTATTCTTCATCCCCACCCTTTTTCTGAGACGAGATCCGTGATACCCTTTTGTAGTCTGTTTTTGATTTGCGTGTTTTCTTAGTCTGGTCTTGTTCTGAAGCTTCTTGATTCATTTCGGGTGGTTATTCTCTTCGACCCTTTGTTTCTTTTGAGCCTCTGTTTGGGTTGGTATTGAAAAGTTCGGAACTTGTGCTTTTCTTGGTCAAACTTAGTTTTGCAAGTTGTGTGTTATTTTTTCTTGATTGCTTTTTTGGTATCAGTTGTTGGGTTTTAGCCTATTGGGGTGTTTGAGGTGGTGATTGTTGTGTTGTGGAATTTGTGATTTCTCAATGGGCTGTTTGGATGATGGGAATGGTGAGCTTGAAAATGGGGTTAGTATAGGGTGTGGTGAAGTTGGTTTTGAGGAAGAAGCAAAGACAGATATTGCTGCCATTGAGGATGCAGTGAAGGTGCTGCTGCTGGGTCTTGGAGAAGATATCAACAGGGAAGGGCTTAGGAAGACACCACTTCGTGTTGCCAAAGCCCTGCATGAAGGAACCAGAGGTGACTACTATGTCTATAGGAATCTTTTGCACTAATAATTTTCATTTATTATACAGTTTGGAATATTTAGATAATAAAATTTTAGCTTATCAGAGATATTCAATTCATTTTGCATTTTTGTTTTCTTTTCCTGTAAGTGTTTGGTGGAGCGTTACTTTAGCCAGATGGATGATGAAGTGAATTCGATTTGATTGATGTCACTCATGGTTGTTTCCTATATGTTAAATAGTTAACATATTACTTTTCCGTGTTTCAGCAGTTTTGAGGAAGTTGGGTATTTTACTTTAGAGGGAAAAAAGGAGTGAATGAAATTGGTTACACATGTTAATTGATCTGTTTCTATTAGATAAAATCTACGTTACTATTGCCAAGTAGCTTTTACGGTATAAAAGTAGGGGGACTGCGTCATGGTGGATGATGTTAAGGAGATGGACTTTAAGAAGTTATGGAGCTGAATGTAATTCATGCATAGAGAATACACACACACACACACACAAAAATAGAGACAGAGAGGACCATTATTTTGATGAATACAGCCATCTGTTTTTTCTGTTATGAGAAAAATAATTTATGCTCAAAATGGCAGTTCAATCCTGTGAAGGCAATTGTCTTAGAATTTTGGTTTAGAGTCTAATTTAACTCTTCAAAACCGATTTTGTAAAATGAGAACGGGCCAAGCCTTATATGCAATCAGTATTGATCAGTTCCTGTGTAGGTAGTCCTTTTCAAGGCACTATGGCCTAGGGGTGACCATATTTTTCTTGTTCCATTTTTGGTTTCTTCCCTGAAGTGTTTGATTTCTGTAGTTTCTATCATCAAAATACTCAATTTTACCCTGTATAAAATTAAAAAATTTAAGTTGTCATATTTTGTTGCATAAAAGTATGATTACTTATATTGAGGGAATTGATATATTCCCAGGGTACAGACAAAAAGTGAAGGACATTGTTGAAGGTGCTTTATTCCCTGAAGCGGGTCTAGAAAACAATAGAGTTGGTCATGCAGGAGGTGCAGGTGGACTAGTGATTGTCCGAGATCTTGACCTGTATTCCTATTGTGAGTCTTGCTTACTGCCATTCCAAATCAAGTGCCATGTGGGTTATGTCCCTTCTGGCCAAAGAGTTGTGGGTTTAAGCAAGCTCTCTCGTGTGGCTGAGGTATTTGCCAAACGACTCCAAGAGCCTCAGCGTCTGGCAGATGAGGTTTGTTCAGCATTGCATCAGGGAATAAAGCCAGCAGGTGTTGCTCTTCTACTTCAGTGTACACACGTCCACTTTCCTGACATAGAATCAATTTTTCTTGAATCGAACCAGCAACCATGGGTGAAGAAGACCCTTGTTTCGTCAGGTTCTGGGATTTTTTATAACAGAAATGCAGATATATGGTTTGATTTCTTTTGTCTTCTTAAATTTAGAGGTGTAGAAAAAGAAAATATACATCTAAGAGGATCATCTGAGCAATGCTGGTGTCCGTCTCTATCTGCTTTTTCTGCTAAAGTTTCCTCCAAAATTGTACCAGCCAATCCTGCAATGGTCACTGCAGTATCTTCAATCCTTAATTCTTTTGGAGAAGATTCAGTCAGGAAGGAGCTCGCAGGGACACCTAGTCGATTTGTGAGATGGCTATTGAACTTCCAAAGCAATGAGATGGATGTAAAGCTGAATGGTTCCCTTTCTGGTAGTATTGATACTTTGAACCGCGATAAGGAGGTAAACTTCAATGACAGACAAATACACTGTGAGATGAACTTGCCATTTTGGTCACAATGTGAGCATCATATACTTCCATTTCATGGTGTTGTTCACATAGGGTACTTCCTTTCAGAAGGATTTAATCCCATTGGAAAATCCCTTGTACAGTCTATTGTACATTTTCATGGTTTCAAACTCCAGGTTCAGGAAAGGCTAACAAGACAAATAGCAGAAACCATTGCACCACTATTATTAGGTGGACATGTAATAGTAGTTGTAGAGGCAAGCCACACATGGATGATTTCTAGGGGAATTGAGAAGTTTGGAAGTAGTACAGCTACGATTGCTGTATTAGGTCACTTTTCAACTGACCTTGCTGCAAAGGCCGTGTTCTTGCAGAGTGTTGCAAGTGCTACAACTTCTCGGGGGTAGTAGTTCCTGTTGGTGCTCACTTGAAATTATTCCATTCATTCTCTGCATTATTTCAAGGTTTTGCTACCAGTTGTGCACCAGCCCAGACATTGATAAATTCAGAAGATCTCCTTTCAGGAATTATTTCACTACATTTCAAAATCACCCAAATTTTGTTATGATCAAAGCCTTACCCTCATAAGAAGATTGATATTAGTTCTTCCTATCTTGTCTTGCCCCCTTTAATGTGATTACATTATATATGTAATCACATTAAAGGATTACATTATATAGGTATATTCAAGGGGTGAATCTTTTTTCCAGATTTACATGCTGGCAGATCTACGGTGGATGTTACACATTTTCATAATTTTATATGAAGGTAAGGTTCAGAAAGGTAAGATTCAAACTAATCTTTTGTGTATGTAAATGGTTGACTGCCACGGAAATCAATAACCAATAGCATCTACTAGTCTCGAGCAGATAGTTATATGCTTATTTTATATGAAATTATGTGATATGGAACAAATGCAGTATCCATCAATCATATTTTATCTTACTCTTAATCAAAATTCACATCCAATATTTAGTTGTCCATCTTCTATACCGTGAATACAAGATACTTGTAATGTTAATCATATACCAACTTCTTAAAATTGTTTCATGAAATTGCCATTTTGTAAAGATTTGTAGTACCATTACAATAAAAATCAATTTCACTTTTATGCCCTTTTTACTGTCTGTCTAATTCTTTCCATTTACCTTTCTACAGACAATTCGGGAATCATATATATTGAACTGCTCCTGAATTTTCAAGAATTCCTTAATGATGAGAAACAGAAGGAAAAATTCGCATGGTCTTACAATGATGCAATTTGCTGCATCTTTCCTTGTCATAACAAAATATCTAATGCAGCAACTTGTAGCTTTTTCAGTCATTGATTGTATGATTAAATGATTATGGATATATAGCAGATAATAGAAATGCCAAACTATGCTAAGAATATTGGTTATAAATTGTTCCTTGTCCTCATTGTCTTCATCAGAGATTTATAAACAAGTACAATGGCCACTCATTGGCTTCCCACACAATCAGGTAACAGAAAAGGGACATCCAACAACAATGCATAAAAACCATAAATGAGAACTATAGGCAGTTATAACAATATAATATGTAGAAGCATTCATGTGGGAATTGGATTCTGGTTGCTAATATAATCACACGAAGACATGTAAGATACTGGGTCTTTTGGTGATCTTCGTGGGTGAGACTTGTGGGCCAGATGCTATCAATTCCCTATGAGGGAAGCACCTTATCCTCAAGGTGATAAGCATAACATAGATCGTCCCAATTCTTCCCACTAGTGTTTTCCTGTGCTAGACCAAGCCATTTAACAAGAACCAGGTGGTCAGAGGTGGTCGGACGAGTGGCGAAGTGTTCAAGTTTGGAAGCCAGGATGGCCAAAGGTTCCACCATGGGACGCTTATCCAGAGCAATCGAGGTAATGTGATGGAGGAGGGAAGAACATGACCTTGATATATGGTTTCAATAAAGAACAATGATAGACAGAAAGTATCTTTGCTTAATCAGGGAACTGAAGGCGATATACAGCTGCACCAATGAGTTCAAGAATTGGGAAGGGACCATGGAAGCTTAATTTATGTGATGCCATGATACTATAGTGTGTTTTGATACCATTCTCTAGCCTTCCTTGTTTCTTTTCATGAAAATATAACTTGATTGGACAGTTTGTGATGTCACTTTAATTAATGTTCTTGATTTCATAAAATGAAAAGATTTTTTTCTAAATTACTTCCCATCATATTTATTTGGATAGTATTTTTGTTTAAAGGTATATTTCTAGATAACAACATTGAAATTGGTTTATTTTAAGTTGATTATATATGACATATTTTTGCTTAAATCATGATTTTCATTTCAAGAATCTTCTTTATTTGACCTAAATTATTTTGGTAGATTCATCTTCAATTTTTGAATTTCATTCATATTTAGATTTGTTATTAATATATCATCAACATGACATAAAGTAATAACATAATATATCTAGATTTATATCTCTTGCTGAAACCATAAGCACTTAATGCCGCTAGTAAAATGACCTAGTTGAATGTATCAAATGCTTTATGTATATTTTTTTATTGCCATGCTTCACCTTCTCTTCCAACATATGAAAAAGCCTCAATGACAGTGTTCTAATACTTCGGCTTCAATCCATAATCCTTTTCCCATCAAGAATAGTTACACTACTACTACAAGAACGTCTAGTAGTGATAAACACAAGAAAGAACTTTGTAAATTTTATCTCCCTCCCAATACCATTTGGCATGTTCTTTTCTTCTCCAATGTAATTCTTCATAATGTAAAGCTTGGTTAAGATTACAATGTGCTAGTGCCTCTTGAACCAAGATATCACTATTTCTAGCATATTGAATGCATAATATTTTTAGTTCTTCATCAATCGGCCCATTATGTTTATAACCTTTTACTTATTATAGACCTTTTATTAAAAGGAATTTTTTTTAAAAATAGATATTTACAAAAACACTCAAATCTCAAACCAATTTACAACACTATATGAAACATAAATATAATATTTTTTCTCACCAAGAATTCTTTCTCTCGCACTGGTTTCTTGTTGTTGGAATTATATTATAAACAAGCTAATTGTTTCCTATTTATAGGAGAAGGAAGACATTACCCTTCGTACATAATCACTTCTTATTATTTAGTTTTCCCATTTTCGCGTTAATTTTTCTATTTAATGATTTTTCTCTGTGTGGTTTTCCTTGTCCCACTCATTACTTCATTCGATTTATTGTGTTTTATCACAAATCCAACAAGTGGTCCCTTTAATACCTCTATTTTATTATTTTAATCCTTTTTTCTTTAATTGTTAACTCATGTAATATAAATTTTTATTCATTTGATTTCTACTTTCAATAACATGACAAATTAAATTCACATTAACAAAAACACGTGACATCACATGGTTAAGATAATATCACATGTTTTATGATGATATGATATTTCATTTGTTGATGATAATAAGATACTAAATGTAGAGAAAAACAAAATTATTATATATTACTGGAAAAAAATTAGGATAATATCTCTAAAATTAGGGAAAAAATTATTATATAGATTTCTATTTTGCGATCGAAATGCGTCGTCGTAAAAAATCAAGTCACTAATGTGTTAGCGATCAATTTGTATTTTGGTCGCTAAATCAATGACAAAATTAATTATTTTTATTTATATTTATTTATTTACATCCTACCTCCTTTTATATTATATTCTTATTATTCATTATATTTTTTAGAAGTTTGACTTATTACTACCACTAAGCTACTAGGATTTTTTAATAATAACTTACAAATAAATTATATTTATATACAAATAAATGTATATGCGTATAAATATATAAATATAAAATCTATAAATACAAATATATTTATATAATTTAATATATATTTAAATATTGATATATTTAAATATTTAAATATTTAAATATTTAAATATTTAAATATTTATATATTTATATATTTAAATATTTATATATGTATATATTTATATATTTATACTTTTATATATTTATACTTTTATATATTTATATATTTATACTTTTATATATTTATACTTTTATATATTTATGCTTTTATATATTTATGCTTTTATATATTTATACTTTTATACTTTTATATATTTATATATTTATATATTTATTTATATCTTTATACATATATATTTAAGAAAAAATTAAAATTAAAATATTAAATTTTAAAAATAATTTAATATTTTTAAAAATAAATATTAAAAAAGGTTTAAAAATATATATAAATTATATTTACATGTACAAAATATTAAAGATATATATTTATATCTTTACATATTTATATATTTATATCTTTATATATTTATATATTTATATTTTTATATATTTATATATTTATATATTTATATCTTCATATTTTTATATATATTTATATTTATATATTTATTTATATCTTTATACATTTATATATTTATATATTTAAGAAAAAAATTTAAAAATTAAATATTAAATTTTAAAAATAATATTATATTTTAAAAAAATATTAGAAAAAGGTTTAAAAACATGTGTAAATTATATTTACATGTCCAAAATATTAAAGATATCTACATTTAAAAAATATTAAAAAATTATACTTTAAATTGATGAAAATATTTTAAAAAAAAGTTACATTTATTAAAGTATTAAAAATATTTTGTAATATATAAGTTAAAAAAATTATTATTGAAATTTTTAAAAATTATTAGTTTTGTAATTTATAGACAATGAAAATAAATTACAAATATTATAATATAATGGTATATTAGTATAGTATAGTATATTTATATTCTAATTTTTAATTAAACTAAAATTACACACACACATATATATATATATATATATATATATATATATATATATATATATATCCTTTTTTAACTTTTTTTTCTTTTTAAACTTCTCACATTCTACATTTTTTTTTAAACTCTATCAATTTTACTACATTATTATCCTCATTTCCTCCCATATTTTATTTTATCTTTATAATAATTAGTCTTCTTTTATAGAATACTTTATTTTCTATTTTTATTATTTATTTTATTATAATTTAAAATAATTAATATTATTTTAACATTTATTTTTATGATTTTTACTATAATAAATCAAATTAAATGGTTCGATAATATCAATTAATTAAAACCATCACATCAAAAACTTAGATAACTACATTAAAATTATTAATTTTAAAAATATAAAATATATTTAAAAAAAACTCAAATTATAGATTGTAAATAAAATAGAATAAAAAAAATACGTTGTACTTTATATTATATTTAAGTGTATACACAAATGTTGACCTTCTTAACTATAAAGAAACAGTAGAAAAATATAAAGATAAAATTTGAAGAAGTGAATTTTGAAGATAAAGACTATTTTTATATAAAATTATTCTACTATATCAATCAACAATAATAATACATAAAATTTAAAAACTAAACTAAAAAAAGTAAATTTAAATTTATAAAAAAATACATTGCTAAAAGTATCATATTATATTAAGATTTTCATTATTTTTGTTAATTATAAATTTAAATGTGTTTCATAAATAAAATTATAAATTTAAATGTATTACACTTTTGATCCATCATAAATAAAAATAAATAGTCTCTTGTAAATGTTGTTCTATTTTAATCCATCATTAAATTTGTTTTATATACGAATTTGATGACTTATCATATTATTAAAAATTTGGATGAAATAATTATGTATAATACTTTTTTAGTATATTATGTTTTTAAATTTTCTAATAAAGAAAAAGTTTCATAATTCAAAATGTTAAATACTTTTAAATATTAAAATTGACTTTATAAAAAATTAGGAAAAAAACAATTAATCCAAAAATATAATAATGATAAAAATATTATAAAAAAGAGTTCAAAAATGTATTATAATATTTTCAGTTTTAGTTTAATTATATTTTAAATTCTCAAAGTATAAAAATATATTATAATTATTTTAATTTAATAAAATATAATTTAAATTTCTAATACTAAAATTAAAAGATTAAATAATAATAAATTTAATTCTTTAAATTTAGTATTTAGAAACTAAAATTATAGTTTCTCTGTTTTAAAAAATTAAAATAAATATTTAAAAATAAAAATAAAAACTAGTATTATCTTAAATTTATTAAAAGTATAATTAAATCTCTATATTTCTTATGCAATTTTAGAAATTTTTTAATAAAAATCCAATATATAAAAAAGTTGAAATTTTAAAAAGGCATAACCTTAACTTATATTAACTGTTTTTTTTTTTTGAAAAAACTGACAAAAAAAACTATATTAACTGTTTTTTTGAAAAAACGGACAAGGAAAACTTGGCTTTGAAAAAAAAGTTAATAATTTTGAAGTTATTTAAGTGATGAAATTTCCAAATGTGATCTATGAATTTATTGAGCAAAATTGGAGCTATGTTGAGTATAAATTTAAATATATTTTTAATTTATTTAAATATGGTTTATTTTTAGTATTTATAAAATAGATTAATTTTAAATTTTTAACTTTTCTAGTAGTCTATTCTTAATCTTTGTTATTAATTATGTTAAAAATAAAAAATATTAATTAGTATACTTAAACTAAAAAATATTTTAACTAAAGATAAATATATTTTTATAAATAATTTAATTAAATAATATATTTATTATCTAATGTATATTGATATAAATTTTTTTTGGTATATCAATTATATGAAAACAACCATGGTTAAGTAATTAATAATAATAAAGCAATAAATATAAAAATTAGATTAAAAATAAAGTATTATAAAATAAAATTTTAATAATTTGATTAAAATTGTAATTTTTAATTAATTAAGTTAATGAGGAATTAAAATGTGATAATTTGATGTGTTTAATTTTTAATATAAATTTTTAAAATATAATTTAATTTCAATTGAAAAATAAATTAAAGAGTATTTGTTATTAAACTTTTCTTAAACAATGTATTGAATAGTTAATATCACTTTAGTCTTAATTTATTACAATTTAAATTTGTAATAAATTTGATTTATTTTTAATAATATTTTTTATTTTAGTAATTTAAAATTAAAGTTAATCTTCATTTTGTTAATATTGAGACCAAAGTTTATTTTTAAAGTATATTTTAAAAGTTAAATTATTTTTAAAAAATAAATTACTTTTAAAAAATAAATTGTAAAAAATATACTAAAACAATTAAAGTATATTTATAAAAAAATAAATTTAAATATAGTAAAAAAATTATGTTCATTAGCGATCAATTTCAATTCAGTCGCTATTTTTTTATTAGTGACCGATTTAAGTTTGGTTACTATTTCAACTTGTAATTCGATCGCTAAATCGATCGCTAAATATTTTTTTTTTATTTTAGTATGAAATAACTACTGATTTAGTTATTGAAATTTTGCGACGCAAACTATTGGTCGCTAAATAAAAAAGTGAAACCAAATTATATTTTGGTGGCTAAATCGATCGCTAACTTGTGACCGAATTAACTCGGTCGCTAAATCAATTGTTAATTGTGACTGAATTAAATTTGTCATTGCGACCAAAAAAATTTGGTTGTGTGTTTTTTTGTTGTAGTGTATATTACTGGAAAAAGGTTAGGATAAAAACTTATCACTAACATATTTATATATTATTTAATAAGTAGAATAGTTAATACAATTTAATATTTTATAAATATTAAATTGATATAATTAAATTCAACCTTATTATTAACCGTCATTCTATTTTTTAAACATTACATTTAATCATACTTCAATGAGATATTAAATACATATATAATAAAATTTTACTTTTATATAAATGCTGCATTATATTCATATATGACAGTTTTTAAATATAATAATCAATAACACTAATCAAAGTTAATGTTATATACTCCTGTATATTTAAGATTAGACTAAACAAATTAAAATAAATATTAATTTTTACTATTTTTCATAAACTTTTTTTATCTATCTTTATCATTTTAATATGGTCTGTCCTTTTAAGATCATTAGTGGAAATTTATTATCTTCTTTCTCCCATTAATATAATTAAAAAGATAAAAAATAATTAGTAAAAAATAATCAATGTAATATTAAGAATTAACCCAGTAAATAATATATTTTAAAAAAACTTAAATATTTATATAAGTTTATTTATCTCATTAGACCTTTTTATTGTTCCTATATAATATTTAATAATGAAAAATAAATTATTTTAACATAACAATTTTTTTCCTCTTTTCTCATTTTTTTATTTTTATTTATCTTTATTTACTTTTTCTTTTCTTTTCTTCTTTGTACGTGTAATTTAAAACTTGTTTTCCTTTTTTTCCCTTTTTGTTATTCCCTCACTCCTTTACACCATCTTATTCTTTTAACTAAAAATACTCAATTTAAATTTGATAAAATATTATTTATTATTTATGAAAAATAAAAATATTTAAATTATCTAAAATATTATAATTTAATACATTATATTTAAAATATTTTATATAATAAATATGAAATATTATAAATATTATTATTATGTTATAGTTATTAAGAAAAAAATAAATATTAATTTTAAAGTACTTTTTCAATAAATATTTTTTTAAAATTATCTAATCCGACTAATCATTTTAGTGGAACTAAATTATTAATTAAAAAATATATTTAACATACAAATATTTAATATTTTTTAATTAGATAAAATAAGTAATTAATTGGTTATGGTAAAATAATTTTAAATTAATTAAATAAATTTTTTTATTGTCATAATAAATAAAATTATTTATTATCATCATAAATTTAATTAATTATTTAATATTTTTTAGTTTTAATGATGATTTTAAAAATTTATTTTAATATGTTTTTATTAAATTTTGATATAATAGTTTTAGTTAAATAATAAGTGAGAGGAGAGAAAAAATAAGATATTTGAGATAGAAAAGAGAAAATAAGAAATGAACTAAGGAGAAAAAAGAAATAGTTAGGTAAAGGAATAAGTAAAACCAGTTAGGTGAAGAAAGAAGTAAAACCGCTTATGAAAAAGAAAAAACAGGTCAATTTAAATAAATAAATTATTTGGATAAGATATGTTTTAAAATTTATTATTTATTGGAGGGAAGGATACTTTTATCTTTACTAATGACAAATTATTCTTTTAAGAATAAAAGTTATTTAAAAACGGTGGGAATATTATATTTAATAAATGTAATAAGTAGTTGTGGTTATTATTTAAAGTACATTAATTAAAGTCATTAAAGAATACTTTATATTTCATAAATACTGTAATTAATAATATGATTAATGTAATTGGCCAACTCTGAACCATCTTTGTTTTATAAATAGGGATAATATCACAAAACAAAGATGAGGAACACACAAGGTGTCTGTGTATATCGTGCTTGAGAATTAGTGTCAATGGGACATTTGGGTGAGAATGGTTTAACCTCTGAGATTGAAAATGGAGTGACTGTGTGTTGTGCTGAAGAGTGTTTGGAGAAAGAAACAAATCCAACCTCCATTGAAGATGCTGTGAAAGTGTTGCTGATGGGTCTTGGGGAAGATGTCAACAGAGAAGGCATTAGAAAGACACCACTTCGTGTTGCCAAGGCCCTTTCTGAAGGAACTAGAGGTGATTATTCATTTCTTATTTCTTGTTTCGAGATATATCATATAGGATTTTTCAGAAAATGTGTTTAGTTCAAGTTTTGAATTTTTTTATTTTTATTTTTTTGCAAAATTTGTTATTTTCAACAAAAAAAATCATAATATATACTGTTTTTCATTCCAGTGGTATAAGATCTCGCATTTCCATGGAAATGAAATATGATATGATCATGTTATAGAAATAAAACTTATCAGACTTTTTTGAAGAATGTGTTAGCAAAAATATTGATAAGAAGGGTCTTGTTATACCAGGCTATATTCAAAGTGTGAAGGAAATTGTGGAAGGTGCATTATTCCCTGAAGAAGGTCTAGACAAAGACGAGGTTGGTCATGCAGGTGGAGTTGGAGGACTTGTGATTGTAAGAGATCTTGACTTTTATTCCTATTGTGAGTCTTGCATGCTACCATTCTATTTCAAGTGTCATGTGGGTTATGTCCCTTCTGGCCAAAGAGTTTTGGGTTTAAGCAAGCTCTCTCGTGTCACCAATGTGTTTGCAAAGCGACTCCAAGAGCCTCAACGACTTGCAAATGAGGTGTGTTCTGCTTTGCATGAAGGGATACAACCCACTGGGGTTGCTATCGTACTTGAATGCAAGCACGTACACTTTCCAGACACGGAATCAAACTCATTTGACTCAAACCACAAAGGGGTGGTGGGGATACTGGTTTCTTCAGGGTCTGGTGCTTTTGAAGACAAAGATGCAGACATGTGGGGTGACTTTTTTGGCCTCATTAAGTTTAGAGGTATTGACAAGGATAACATTCATGATAAGGGGTCGGTGGACCAATGTTGGTGTCCTTCTTTGTCTAATAATGTTTCACTCAAGAATGAAGAAATCAAGCCTACTATGGTCACTGCAGTAGCTTCAATTCTCAAGTCTTTAGGTGAGGATCCAACCAGGAAGGAATTAGAAGGGACTCCTGGTAGATATACGAAATGGCTGATGAACTTTCAATGCAGTAGCATTGATATGAGGCAGAATGGTTCCCTTTGGAGTGGGATATATGATGCTTTGGACCCTAACGAGGAGGAAGGCTTTAATGTCAAGCTACACTCAGAGCTGAACTTGCCCCTTTTGTCACAATGTGAGCATCATTTACTTCCATTTCATGGTGTTGCTCACATAGGATACTTCATTTCCAAAGGGTTTCACCCCATTGGAAAAAGCTTTGTGCAGTCTATAGTGCATTTTTATGGTTTTAAGCTCCAGGTTCAGGAAAGGCTCACCAAGCAGATTGCAGAAACCATCTCTTCACTGGTAGGTAAAAATGTGATTGTGGTGGTGGAAGCAAGTCACACTTGTATGATTTCAAGGGGCATTGAGAAGTTTGGTAGTAACACAGCTACCATTGCTGCATTGGGATGCTTTTCAACTGACCTTGCTGCAAGAGCTGCGTTCCTCGAGAGTATTCCAGGGCCTAAATCTCTTTAAGAGCATTAATGATTTTCTGGCTCCCTTTCTGAAGCGTTTTTCGTTTGTTTCATTTTCTCCTTTATTCTCTGTTTTGGAAGTGTTTCTCAGTTATGTTTTATTTTCATGATTTTATGCATGTTTAAGGTTGAACTTTGTTTGTTGCTGTTGTAATCCGTTCTCACCATCTTGATGGAAAAGGAAGTTTTTAAGTTTAGTTTGAGTTTAAGTCTCACTGATCTCTCTCTCATAAGTGTAAAATTAGAATCCCAAGAGAAAATTGTTTCCAAAATTTCATTTCAACTCATGAAATAGCTATGCATTCATGATTCAAGTTCTTATTTTGTTGTTTGAAGACGAAGAAGATAAACCCCACTTGGTAATTTTATACATTTTTAAATCTAAATAATAAATTTATACATAAGATTAGAGATTTATTTATTTATTTACTGTGTTGAGTACTTTTGAACGAATTCAAAATAAAGTTCTTAATTTTTTTAATCATGGAAATAACGAATGTTTTTAGATCCTTTTCTATTTATAATGAAATTTGATAGTTTCAATAATGCGCAGGTTTCAGTTTGGGAGATTTTTTCACAATAAAATGACTATAAATTATATAAATGCAAGTCTAACATAATGATTAACTTGCTGGAATAATAGATTGGAAATCGCTTAGATAAATGTGTAAATAAAAAATCGTATCTTAATGTAAATTTTACGTATAAATTTATTTAAAAGAGTAAAAGCTTCTCAATACATTCTTCAAGTTTAGTACATATAAGAAACAAATTGAATCTTAATATTTTTAGAGACTATTTGGAGAGGTTCATATATTGAATGTATCATCGATATATTTGAGATATTATTTATTTTTAAAATTTTAGTCTCTAAAGATTTTTTATTTTTTTAATGTTTGAGTAGATTAATAAAAAATATGTATATAAAATATTTTAATTTTGACTTTTATTGTGATGTGAAACCTATGAACTTGATAGAAGATAAACCTTTAATGATAATTAAATGAAACGTTACTCCATTTTCGATCTACAATCATACTTATCATCAATATTTACATGAAACTATCATAAAAATAAATTAAAAAAATACTTCAAAAAAGAAAATGATAAGAAATACAATAAACACAATTATATCTATTAAAAAGTTATGTGTTACTAAACTCATAATTATAAATAAAAAAAAAAAACTGACCCATTAACAGTTAATATTTATCAATAAAAGAATATCTATTATTTATTTATTTTTTAACCCTTCACATTTTTCTTGTCTGACTTTCCTTTATTTTTTTTCTACTGTCCATGTCAGTATCACCCTGATAATTGTACACTCTAGAAAATATTGTTGTCATTATTTCACATTTTCAAACTTCCACTAATTTCACCCTCCAATAATTTAATATATTTAGACATATTATATTTGTTAATAATAATAGAAGTTAGTTTAACCATATAACTATATAAATATATCAAAAAATATAAATATATTTGTATTTATATATTTACATGGATATATTCACTTACACGAATATATATTTATTTGTATATAAATATAATTTATTTATAAGTTATTATCGGAAAAGTATAGTAATTTAGTGGTTGAAGTATCGGCTTTTAACTTTAAAATACTGGGTTCAAATCTTGTCAGTGACAATTCTTTAACTTAAGTGAAATTTTGGCTGAAAAAATAAATAAATCACTTTCCGGAAAATATATATTTACATGGATATATATTTATTTGTGTATAAATATAATTTATTTGTAAGTTATTATCGAAAATTATAGTAATTTAGTGGTTGGAGTATCAACTTTCAACTCTAAAATACTGGTTTAAGTTTTATTCGACAATTCTTTAATTTAAGTGAATTTTTGGAAAGAAAAATAAAACACTTTCACATCGGTCAACATTCAACTAGATGAACCGTGGAAAGATATTAAGACTAATGTTTATGATTGTGTTGGTTTTCCATTTTAATTTTGTTGAAGAATGAAGGAGTTGGGGATAATTGTTGGTTTTTTAATTACTTGATTTGAGAGGATTAGATTGAAGCTTTATACTTGTTGTTGAGTGAAGGAATAGCATCTAGGTATGGTATGGGTATTAACTGTATTTATTTGGAAAATAATTCTTATACATAATTTATTTCGTTATTATTCGTGTGTATCATTTTAAAAATTTTATGATTTTTTTTATATCTTTGGAAATTTATAATATTCATGAAATTTTTTATTTTCAAAAATTAAATAAAAATATTTTAAAAATATTTTTTAAATTCAAATAAAATTGTATCATAAAATATTAATATAAATAAAATTCAATTTTTAAAGTATAAATGTAAATAAGTAATAATATAGAGTATAAATTTAGTGAAAACATTATGTATTTGTTTGGTTACTTCATTTGTCCTCAATTAGTTATAATATAAAATCTTACACAAAATAAAGTTTATAATTCTTTTTATCTATTATGGTTGATATATTCTTAGTCTTCTTCCAACACTCAAAATTAATAACATACATTTTCTTAGTATTGTTCATTGAAATTTCCTTGTGGTTGATATTTTCTTAATATTGTTTAGAATTAATAACATAAATTGTTAATGAAACTTGAATAAGACATATCGATAATGATAAAGTATTAATTATGAAAGAGGTATATTATAGTTTTACTTTTGCATTAACATAAAGAGTCATGAAAATGATCTTCTGATATATTTGAATCCATCACTAATATATGTATATATTCTCAAACTTTTTACGGTTAGAGGCTAAAAAAACATACAAATAAACATTTTCAAAATTTACAATTAATTGATTGTTATACCTACATTATTAATTATGTGAATAAAATGGTATAAATAAATATATTAAATCATTGTTAAATTTATGGTAAAATTATAAATTAAATAAGAATTATATAAATTGAAAATAGAAAAATGAAATAAAAGTATACATATATAAATAAATATATTAAATAATTATTAAATTTGGAGTATCAAAACAATGAATTAGAATATTTTGGGATTACTATTTTTCTCAATTTTTTTAGAATTCCGTTACTGGTCCGAGGCATTTGATATTTGCAGGTCCCGTGGCAGCTGGTGATGGTGGCTCGCGTTTAGGAAAGAAGACGAAGGCCTAACAGTGTTGTGGATAATATTAAATAATGGAAATGAGTTTAAAATTTAAAAATTTAAATAGATTATTATAATTAATAAAATAATATTTTTATAATATATTTAATTAATAATAATATTTTTTTATAAAATAAAAAAACTAATAAAACTAATAATTATTAAAAGTTATAAATATAAAATATATTAAAAAATAAATAATAATTAAAATAAAATAAAATAATTATTATTTATTACTAATGTAATTAATATTAGATAAAAAAATTACAATAGATTATATTTTTTATAAAAAAAAATCTAAATATTTTTTATTAAAATTAATTGATCTAAATATTCAGCTAATTTTTAAATTTTATTTTAATTAAATTAAATTCCAATTTTTTAAAATAACAATTTTTTAATCCAATTCTCTCGGACAACTTCGATTCAATTTTTAAAATATTTATTATAAATATATGACTGCGGTGAAGTCTTAAAATAATTTTTCAAACATTATTATTCACAATTTTTTTTCTAACATCCATTTAATAATTATTTTTAAATTTTTATATTATTATTTATGTATATTATTTCATTCACTTTTTATCTATCAATAAACAAATAATATTTAAAAATTATTTATTAAATATTTTAAAAAATTGATTATAAAAAAATCTTTTTCCTTTTCAACATTCATGCTGAGCAAATTTTTTTTTACGCAAACATCTACTTTACATTTTAATTTAGTAATATAATATTAATAATTATTAAAATTTTAATTTATATTATTATTATAATATTAAAATTGATGCTCGTTCGAATATTTGATAAATCACATCTTCTAATATAATAAGCGATGTATGTATGCGTTGAAAACTGAAGTTACACCAAAAAAATTAATAAAATAATAAATAGTATTATTACATTAAAAAGTGGTTGTCAATGGATTCATTGAAAAAAAAATCATTATTCATATAATATTTTTCATACTTTTACCTTACTTAAAGATATATATATAATACATTTAAGGAAAATATTGATTGACATCCATTTTTTAACCTACATTAATCTAACATAGTAATATAATAATAATAATAATAATTTAAATTATTTTTAATTTTATAAAACTTATTTATAATTATTATAATAATAAAATGAATTGTCTTTTATAAGTTTTCTCTGCTGCAGTTGTGAATATATCAACACAAGTTAAGTCTCATATTTAAAATTTCTCAATTTTGTCCTTCAGAATCAACTTTCAGTGGTGGTAGAGTTATTGATGCATATATATCAAGGTTCCTTGAGATAAAAAAAACTGTTGAAGCATTGGAAAATGTATGATATAGTATTGCAAAAAAATATGATATTTATTTTATTAATAAAGTTGAAATTATAATATTTAACACATTTTAAATCTTTTTCCTACTTAGGTGGGTAAATTTAAAATGATAATATTTAATATATATATATATATACATTTTTGAAGTTTTGTTTACTCAGGTTGACAACAGATTGAAAGTGACTATTGTACGAATAAGTTGATGGTCTTTGTATTATAACAAGAACGCACTAGACCAATGAATTAGCTTACAACAAGTTTTGCTTCTATTTAGTGAATGGAGAGATCATAATTTATATTAGTTTACAATGAAAGATAATAGTTTACGTTTAATTTACGTGTTTGTAAATTAATTTGTTAACTTCTGTTAATTGATATTGAATTCTACACAACTAAATATTCATTTATTTTTAGTCATTTTTATTTTAAAAAAATTATTCACAAAAATTAACTGTCAATTTTTCTGAAAAAATATTTATAAGAAATAGTTAGATTTTTTAAAATATTTATAATAAATTTCTATAATTTTATTACAAATATATAAAAAAATGT